CAAGAACACTCAGACAGTCCACGTTTTTGCTCCCTCCCAGCTCCCTGCCAAACAGTCCACATTTTTGCTAGGGATCTGGGAGGGAGCAAAAACATGGACTGTCTGCGGATGTCTAAGGACCAGATTAGGAAACACTGCTCTAGGGTATGCGTTCCAGATATGCAAATGGTTCATAAAACACTGTTATGGTGTAGTAGACTTTATGTATTTCCACTCAAATAAAGTGTTACTGCTGTGTTTACTGAAAAATAGCCTAGCTGAAGTTGAATAGAGGGGGGTAATTTGTCGATTGCTGGACATGCTGAGATGGCTGCCAGCATCCTCACTCCATGCCAGGTTTTTCAAAAAATGAAAGTGGGGTAAATGGCAGTGGGTGTCTGTTAAAGAAAACAAAAGGTGGTGGTGGGGGGGGGGAATAAAGACAGAAAGACAAATAAATAATTAAAAGATTTCTCAATCAAACTGTTGATAGTGATTCAGGCAGATTGCTCACTGACAGGATCAGGGAGGCTGTTTTAAAGGTAGCTATTGATCACACGTGTGGCCGTGGTCCTGCAGTCACATCCTTATTGGCTGTGCAAAACACCAATCCTGAAAACTGTCAGGTGACTGCCCTACAGGACCGTGCACTGAGCACACCCCCCCATCTGTTTGTTGACCTGGCCGGTATGTGTGCATGTGAACGTAAAAATAAAAACATCCAGTTTGTATGAGGGATTTTCCAGCTTTTAAGTCATATAATTTTCTGTTCCATTCCAGAATTTCTGGGTAAAGTTTTGGCTTCTTTCTCAGTAAGGGCGTCTGGCAAAATGAGTAGTAATATTAATAATCACCATCATCATTATCAATTTTACAAACTCTTAGTGGGGTACTAGCGAAAAGAAGGCCACCAGAAATGAAAAACAGGGCCCCCCGCTGCTCTTGTTTTCGGCTGCTCATAATTCTTTTATTTTAGTCTTAATGGCAAAAAAATTACATTTCTGATTGCAGTGGCAGGAAACAGTTTCCTCTCCTTGGTAGTAAATTTAAAAGCAGATTTTCTGTCTGCTGTCCAAAGAATAATATATGCCTCCATCCCATCCCCAAGCTTTCTGTGAGATGCACGAGTCATTTAAACTGTCACCCACTCACTAAAACAAATCTAGGGGTGATTACAGAAGAGGTAATTTGGGTTTATTGAAAGTCTGAGAACTGTGGTTCCCTGTAGAAATGGTGCACGGAGTGAGTGCCAGTTCCCAGAGTGGGTGTCAGCTTTACTGGCCTTTACTGGGCTCTCTAGTGGCTGTGTCCCTATACCGGAGGGGACAGGCAATGTCCCCATTTGGGAGAGGACAGAGAATGTTGATGGATGAGCCTGGAAGAGCAGGAAATGTCCAGAACAAAATAAAAACCTCAAGCTGCTTTTCTTCCTAGCTGTCCGAGTGTTTTGGTGGCCCCTTCGCCCCAGGCAGGACAGCGCCACAAAGACTGTCTGCCACAGTGTCTATTTTTAGCAGCTTGGGTTGAAAGTCCAGCTCTGTCTGTCTGAATGGTTTGTGCAGTTTCATGTCCTGAAGTTGTCATAATGAGCACTACTATTAAGACCAATAAGCCATTTGCGGTACCTTCACGCTTTCACTGCTGCTTTGTGCAGCACAAATACATACAGTAACGATGGCTAACAGTATGATGTGTATTTGTATGTATATTTAAAAATATATTAGAAATATTTGCCAGAGTAGGGGTGTTATTTGGGGATAAAAATTGAGATGAATCTAAGTTGGCAAAAGAACAAGGTTGAAATGCATTTAGTCAACACGGGAAAAAAACAGTCTTCTGTAGTTATATAATAATAAAATGAGTGTCACCATCCTAAGGTACACAGCCTTCCTTTCATCTTGCACATATGTTCGATTTTGTTGGGCTAACACAGTGAGTGCTTCCAAAATCGCATACTAACACAGTAGGTACTGCATGTTTTTTTAAGCCTACTACTTGACCACGTGATGGGCAGCAGTGAACATGAGAACTCAGATGCAGAGTTAGGAGATGGAGGCTTTGATTGGAGCAGGAAAAAATCAGGGTTGTATGGTCCAGCTCATCAACCAGCACAAGCAGGCAGAATCCAAGTCGAAAGGCAAGTTGGAGTTCGGTGAGACAGGAGAGGGTTAGGCAAGGTGCAAACAACAATCAAGACAGGGCAAACTCATAAACTAGGAACAGAACAGAATCAGGAAGCAGAAGACAGATATCAGACTAAACCAGGGCTCCTCAACTCTGAACCTTGATTCTAAATCCAGGCCATGTTTTCAGTTCCCCCAGTTAGTTAGTTTAATAATTACTGATTCTGATTGGTCAGAGGCTTCACACCTGACTGATAGGTAAAGGAAGGCTGGAAATTCAGCAGCGCTCGGACCTTGAGGACTGTGATTTGAATAGTCTGGGACTAAACACTCAAACTCTCAGAAACTGGTAAGATCTCACACCAAACAGAAGTCTAAGGCACAATAAAATAGTCTCAATGATTAGGATCTCAGTCACAGCTGGAAGGGGCGTAGCTGTAAATTGAAATCCAGAGAGACTGGTTTTTCAGGTTGGTGTACTGGGGCATAACTCAGGCTGCAGGCCCTCCAAGGGACACGGAACAGAAACATCAGTCAGGGACTCCCAGGGAGGAGGGACAGATACATCAGTCAGGGACTCCCAGGGAGGAGGGACAGATACATCAGTCAGGGACTCCCAGGGAGGAGCTGTGACAGACTGCCATACTGTGTACATACTGTATGTATGCTTGAGAACAGTATGCAGGCACTCAGACATATTGCGTCGCTATCATGCATAGTGCCTGACCTGGATGTCTACCAATGACATAGTTGACCCCAGAGAATGTTAAAAACTATTTAAAATACATATTTGAGTCAACTTATGTAACTGACATTTGTCTACTGGTCTACTGACATTTGTACAGAACCAGCACTGACATCTTGATACACATTTCTGAGTACATTCATAGCAAAGAAGTATTCAATTTCACCATGTATTTCTCAACCTAGTCCACATTCTTCCTTCCCAGAACACCTGAAACAAACAATAAAGCACACGAAATTCCTGGTACACGTGTCCTGGGAGTTGAGAGTTGAAAGTTGAGTTGTGAGGGAGCAAAAATGTGGACACAGAGGACTGGGTTGAGAATCATGGGGCTAAGAAATGGAGTTAAGAAATGAATTTTTAGACATATTAAAATGAGGGTAAGTTGTCCCCACCCTTCCAAAAAAAATGTGAATGCTATGGAACGATTTATATATTTGTGTGTTAGTTTTTAATACCTGTGGCTCAGTCCCTGTGACAAAGTAACGTTACAAAGAGATTTCTGCAATGCGATTGTACAGCACAGCTTTTGTTCATTAGACACCTGCCCTTCATAAATTCTCCAAACCTCTCTGACTCCTAATGCAATTCCCCCCCCCCACCTCAAATGTTTGCTGAACTCTTTGTTCCTAAAGCACTGCTTAAGAATTCCCCCAGGAAATCTATTATGGCTCCTGGTTATTATAGCTGTTATTTGGTACATCCAGTCCTTGCATTTTGGCAAATGCATATGATTTTCAGCACGTGTGCACTTGCTATTATCATCTATGTATGACTCTGTCATATTTTCCGGAATATAAGCAGAGTGTAATGCACCGATGCACAGCTGTGCTGCGTGGCTGTGAATGCGTGTGTGTTTGTGCGTGAGCAGGTGTGGCTGCCAACTTGGTAACTACATCATGTATCTTTCAATCTTTTTAATTAAAAGACACAGAGCAGAAATCTTTCTGCTATCAATGGATGGAAGTTCTGAATAACAAATAACCCATTTTCCTGGCTCCTTTTCCTCGCTCCACCCACGCCGCTGTACACCGAGGATCGCGTGCATATTCTCACCGTTCTGTAATTACTAAACAGATGACTGGCGAGAAAGAGGAATGGATGGATGGATGCCTGCATAGAGGAATCGATGAATGTAGGGATGTATAAATGAACAGAGAAATGGGTGGGTTGGTGGATGGATGGATTGATAGAGGAAAGGAAGGATGAATGAATAGAGAAATGGGTGATGGATGAGTGGCATGAACATGGGGTGGGGGTAGTAAGAGTTCGCACAGGATGGAGGCCCTGGTGTTTCCACCACTCACTGCTTCTCCCAGGAGCATACAAATGATTTTTCAAAAGCCCAACTATCACCTCTGACTGCTAACTCACTGGCTAAATAAGCTGATATCTGAAAATGAGACGGCAGTGAAATTTGGATCCATATTAGACAGTCAACTGATGTATAACTAATGATACAAAACACACTTTCGCATCACAGTTAATGCAGGAGCCTAAAACTATATTTGTGATAAATTGAGTTGGATATTAATTTGGGTTTATGGATTGAAAGTATAATGGGTCTTATGTTGCTGATGGGGATTATTTTCTGATTATTATTTACAATAATATCAGATTGTTCAGTTAAGGTTTGTACCTTTAAGAGTGTCACGTGAGAGTAGAGGTCATTAAGGAATCGAAGTGCGTTCGATTATTTCTCTCCAAGTCGGAACTCGGATGAAAACGTCACGTAACGTCACGAAAAACGTCACTTCCCGTCGGAACACGCCCCTTTTATGACGTTGAGGTCGGACAAGATTTTGTTGTCGGAGTTGCCCCTGTGGCGTAATTTCAACATGGCGACTTGGTTTGTTTGTAGTTTGTTTACCGTTCGAAAAAAGAATATCGCTATGAATGTACTAAAATATTTTATAAAGCTTTTAATATGGTTTGACTAGTTCGTGTTTCTTGTTTGTCTCTTGGAAAATCTCCATTTCTCCATTTTCTCCATTTGGAAAATTCAAAATCTGCTAAAATATAAAGCAACACACAGCAACGTGTTCATGGAGGCAGCCATGTTTGTTCCGAGATGTGGGTACTGGGTAGCTCGAACGGGAGATTGTCGGACGTGATGTCACTCAACTCGGAATTTCCGAGTTCCGAGAGAAAAACGAACAGAGCCGCACGGTTTTTTTTTTTTTTTACCTCTGTTTCTCTTGATTTTGGAAGGAATTCTGCTTATCTTTTTTATTTTCGAAGTTTTCCTTTTGCTATACGGAAAACTTTGTATACTGTGGTGTTATTCGATTTAGTAAATAGTTCTAAGTTAAGCTAATGGATATGCGTGTTTCTTTTGCCTTACGTTTTTGGATGGGAGAGAGCAAAGCGTCAACCTTAAGCTCCATTTTTGGATTTGGACACTACATTCCTTAGTTAAAAAACCTGGCTTTCATGGAACACGGAAGGAAGTTTCGGCTGGCAGAGCCCGACGACTGCAAACTGTGAGTCGTACTGTACCTTTCCCTTGTTAGCTTAGAATAGCATACGTGCTGGAGTTAGCCTGCAATAGCAGCCCTGCTGTAACTGGATTTAAAAATCAGAGCTCAACGGACTATATTCGGTGAATATAGAGGTGGAAAGCATTGTCTGCGTCAAGTTTTTTTTCTTTTTTCCTTTTCAACGGTGCTGTGTGATACCTTGCTTTAAGTAGCTGGGGAAATTTTTGCTTGTATGGATAGGCCAGACAGCGAAAAACGGATGGTAAAAATGACGGAAAAGGCCCGGGAGGAAAACGTGTCCAGACATATCATATGCATACCAGAAGAGCTAAGCTAGGGCAGGTAACTAGCATTATAAAACACCTCAAGCGATTAATGGAGGATGATGTAAACGTGGATGTTGTTAAGGAAAAATTACGGAATAACTTTAATTTACAAAGGGAATTCTGTGAAATAAATTTCGATATGAAAGGGCTTATGACCGAAGAGGAATATTCGGATGATCAAAACAATTGGTTCGTTCCGATGGTAAATGCGATGGATGATTTTTTCTGAAGATGTGAAGGATGGATGAATAATGTTTTAAAACGATCTAGACAAGCTGAAGAGTGCGATGCACAAGTAACCCCTGTGGATAGTGTGTCTATGACATTAAGGTTAACCGCTGAGTGCTCTAGCAGTAAAGGTTCCCTGTCTGGAAGCATAGCGTCTGCTGCTTCATCAGCTAAGATGAAAGCAACCGTGAAGAAGGCTGCATTAAAAGTAAAGGTTGCAGCTTTAGAGAAAAAATTAGCTATTGAAAGAGAAGAAACAGAATGGCAAGACGAACAAATGAGGAAAGAAGCTGGCATAAAGGCTAGAAAACAGATGCATGAGCTTCAGACTGCAATTGCTGAGGCAGATGCAAAAACGGAGGTTTTGCAAAAAAATATGAAATTAGGCAAACTGACAGGAGTGTGGCAGAATTTAGCAATATTCTGACCTCTCCGCCAGTATCAGAACGTAACATCGAAGTTGAAAATGTTCTCCAATCGCAATTGCATAATAGAGCCTCACCCACTTCTAGTGTGCAATCCAATGTTGGGCCAGCGCTTGATAGTTTATGTAAAGCAATTTCCCAGCAAGCTAATGTAACAGAATATTTGGTGAAGAACCACAAGGCGTCCTTGTTACCAGATATAAACATACCCACGTTTAATGGTGACCCACTTGAATATAAGCTGTTTATTAGAGCCTTTGAGCACGCCGTAGAAGATCGTTCAGATAATGATCGAGATCGCCTCTACTTCTTGCAGCAATATACAAGTGGTCAGCCACACGAACTACTGGGAAGCTGCATTCATATGGAACCCTCAGCAGGTTATGCGAGGGCCAAACAAATGTTAGAAGAATATTATGGTGATGATTATACAATAGCAGAAGCTTATATCAACAAGGCTCTTAGTTGGGACAGATTACAGCGAGAAGATGATGCAGCACTGCAGTCTTTTTCTGTTTTTGACAGGCTGCTATAATATAATGTCTGATATAAGCTACATGGAAGACTTGAACAATGCAGTTAATTTAAGGGCACTGGCAAACAAATTGCCATACAAGCTTAAAGAAAGGTGGTAAAAGGTAGCATGTGATATTCAAGAATACACAAACAGAAGAGCAACATCCAAAGACTTTGTGGACTTCGCTAAGCAAGTTAAGTACATTCTGCATCCGATGTATGGCGATTTAAAGGAGAGCCAGAAAGAACAGCATAAGCCAAAGGCCACAATTTAAGGAGAAAGGTGCAACAAAGAAGGCCTTTGCTACAACTGCAGTTCCAATCGAAAAGGAAATCAAACAGTGGAAGAAAAATAAGAAGTGGAGAACTAAGCACCACCTAAAATGCAAACTTTCTCTGTTGATGCCAGCAGCAAGCCTTGCGCTTATTGCAATGGAGGGCAACACTGCTTTGCAGCATGCAGAAGACTCCAGAGCAAGTCTCATAAAGAAAAGATTGATTTCTTGAGAATTAAAGGTTTATGTTTTGGATGTTGAAAACATGGACACATGAGCAGCAGCTGCAAAGAGAGAGCGCAATGTCAAGAATGTTTTCGGTCACATCCCACGCTACTCCACATAAAACTCAAGGGCAGCTCAACACAAGATACGGACGAGACAATGACAAAGGAAAGTTGTGAAGCGCAATCAGTCTCAAGTGCTTTCACGCAAACTTTAAGTTTTGGTGTCACTGGGGCCGGTAAGGAAGATTGTGTGCTTTCAATCGTTCCAGTATGCATCAAGGCACAGAAGGGAACAAAGACAGTAGTTACATATGCGTTTTTAGGTCCCGGTAGCACCGCTACTTTTTGTACGGAGTCACTGATTCATGAACTGAATGTGAGTGGACGGAGCACAACCGTTCTGTTAAGAGCAATGGGAAGGGAATCTGTGGTCCACACCCGAGTAGTTACTGGTCTGGAAATCAGTAGTCTGAACGGCAGTCAGTTTATTGAGCTTCCGGAGGTGTACTCACAGAAAGAAATTCCAGTTACTGAAGATAATATTCCATGTCAAAGGGATATTGATGACTGGCCTTACCTGAAGGAAGTGCATCTTCCCGTCATTGAGTGTAAGATTGAATTGCTAATAGGAGTAAATGTACCCAAGGCTATGGAACCGCTTCAGGTTGTCAGCAGCATAGGTAATGGGCCATATGCCGTTAAATCATTTTTGGGCTGGATGGTGAATGGTCCACTCCGAGGTGGATGTAGCACAGCAACAAGGAAGCGAACCTGAAGTAGCAGCAAATCGAATTTCTGTAGCAAAGCTATGAGACCTCTGGCAGCTGCAGTTTAAGCAAGATTTCCCTGATGCAGAACAAGTCGAAGAATTTGAAATGTCTAAGGAAGACCACTTGTTCATGGCTATGGTGTCTTAATCATTAAAACTTTCTGATGGTCATTACAGTATTTGCCTTCCGGTGAAAAACAAATCATTGAATCTACCAAATAATAGATCTGTTGCTGAACAACATGCACTGAATTTACAGAAAAGGTTCATGAGAGATGTCAAGTTTTGGGCGGAGTACGCTGCATTCATGGATGACATTCTACGAAAGAGTTATGCGGTGAAGCTTGACAAGAGCCCACTCGCACCACCGAATGGAAGGACGTGGTACTTGCCTCACCATGGGGTCCGACATCCCGTCAAGCAGAAACTACGTGTGGTTTTTGATTGTGCAGCGAGCTACCACGGAACATCATTAGATCAACAACTCTTGCAAGGTCCTGACTTAACAAGTTCGTTGGTGGGGGTCCTCATGAGGTTCCGACAAGAGGCTGTGGCTATGATGGCAGATGTCGAAGCTATGTTCCACCAGGTCAAGATTCGGGACAAAGACACAGATCTCTTGAGGTTCCTATGGTGGCCTGGTGGGAACTATCAGGAAGAGCTTGCTGAATATAAAATGGTGGTCCACATTTTTGGCGCAAGTTTTGCTCGGCAAAAATACGCAACAGATTTCGAGATTGAATTTGGTCAAGAAGCTGCTAGGACAGTTAAGAGGAATTTTTATGTTGATGAGTGCCTTAAGTCAGTTACAGATGAAGATATGGCCATTGCTCTTTGCTCCAATTTGAGGAGTATGTTGGCGAAGGGAGGTTTCCGGCTGACGAAGTGGTCAAGTAACAGTCGAAAACTGCTCACCTTATTTTCTGAGGAAGAAAGAGCGCAAGGATTTCAAGATTTGGCTTTGGATCAAGACAGCTTACCAATGGAGAGAACATTGGGAATCCAATGGTGTGCCGAATCAGATCAGTTCAAATTCAAGATTAGTCTTAAGGATCGGCCATTGACTAGGAGAGGCCTACTTTCTCTTGTCAGTTCTATCTTTGACCCATGGGGCTTCCTCGCTCCTGTTCTCTTACCAGCTAAGAGAATCCTTCAAGACCTTTGCCAAGAAAAATGCAGCTTGGATGAAGACTTGCCCAATGATGTTATACAGAGATGGAAAGAATGGGTCTCAGGTTTGCAACAGTTAGACGGTTAGAGTCCACAGATGCATCCACAGATGCATCAAGATGAGCGAATTTGGTCCTCCAACCTTTGCACAGCTGCATCATTTTGCGGATGCAAGTGAGGATGTGTACGGAACAGTCAGCTACTTGCTGTTAGGTAATGAAAACAGCCAGACTCAATCTACCTTGATGATGGCAAAGGCTAGGGTGGCGCCACTAAAGGCCCTAACAATTCCAAGAATGGAATTGACTGCAGCTACCGTAGCAGTCAATATGGACAAGCTAGTTAAAAAGGAACTTGATCTGGAGCTTTGTGACTCAGTCTTTTGGACTGATAGCACAGCTGTACTTAAATACCTCAGAAGTGAAAGCACCAGATTTAAGACCTTTGTAGCTAATAGAATATCGACAGTTCTGAAGCATTCTCACATTTCACAGTGGAGATATGTTAATACGACTCTTAACCCTGCAGACTATGTCTCAAGAGGACAGACTGTCGAAGCCTTCTTAAAAAATAGGAGTTGGCTTTCTGGACCAAAATTCTTGCACTGCTCAGAAAACGAGTGGCCGCAGAATCCAGATCCTGGAATGTTAGACATTGATGACCCTGAGGTCAAACGAGCAATCAAAGTACATGCAGTACAAATAAAGGAGCCCCAAGATTCCATGGACCGGATAATGAACTATTCATTTTTTAGGTGGAAAGAGATGCTGTTGGAACTGAAAACAAAGAGAAAGCAATTGAGTATGATGGACAAAAAGGTTTCAGCTGAAATGGAACAAGGCATTCAAATCAAAATGAACAAGTTTAAAAAATCTTACAAAGGAAAGGGCATAACTTGTGAAGATCTAGATAATGCGGAATTGGAGATTGGAAGCAGCCAGCCATACTGCCAAAGGATTTGCATGTTACCAATGTAACATTGAGACACATACACAAAACTATATGGCATGCTGGAAGGAATCATATGCTGGCTGAGCTCCGTCAGCGTTTTTGGGTTCCAGGGGCAAGCGGTGCCATCAGACAAATGCTTTGTAAGTGCACTACTTGTAGATGATGGCACGGATCTGCAGGAAAGCAGCTTATGGCTATGCTACCAAGGTGCAGAGTCCTTCCAGATGATCCACCGTTTACTCGAGTAGGTGTGAACTATTTCAGCCCATTCCTTGTGAAGCGAGGAGAGTTCAAGTGAAGAGGTACGGCATTATCTTTACGTGTCTCGCAATACAAGCTGTACATTTGGAAGTTGCATCTTCGCTTGACACAGATGCGTGTATTAATGTAATTCGAAGATTTCTTGCACAAAGGGGGCAAGTGAAGGACATGTATTCTGATAATGGAACCAATTTCACATCAGCCGATGATGAGTTGAAGAAATCGATCAGAGAATGGAACACCTGCAAGGTTGAAAAACACTGTTAACAAAAGGGTATCCTTTGGCACTTCAATCCGCCTGCAGGATCTCATCATGGGGGAAGCTGGGAGCGGTTGATTCGCTCTGTAAGAAAAATTCTGAATACCACTGTAAAGAAGCAATCTTTGGATGAAGAAGGTGTACACACCTTATTATGTGAAGCGGAAGCCATAATTAATGGCAGGCCTATCACGAAGTCTTCTTCTGACCTAAATGATCTAGAGGCCTTAACACCCAATCACCTGTTGCTACTCAAGGTCAAGCCTAATTTACCACCGGGAGTGTTTGATAGGAATGATCAGTATGCTAGTCGCCGATGGAAACAAGTACAGTACCTGTCTTTTGGAAGCGTTGGTGTAAAGAATATCTTACGCAGCTTCAAGAACATCAAAGATGGTGCACTGCGGGAAGGAACTTCAGAGTCGGCGATGTGGTGCTGATCGTGGATGACACCTCTCCGAGAAATTCCTGGCCTCTTGGACGGATAATAGAGACTCTGTCTGACAAGAAAGGCCTGAACACACCATTCACATGCACACCTATGGGCAATTTGGAAACTCCAATTAACCTCAGCATGTTTTTTGGGCTGTGGGGGGAAACCGAAGTAAAACCCCACAACGACACGGGGAGAACATGCAAACGCCACACACACAGAGCCGTGATGGAGACTCGAACCCTGGTCAGTAGTAAACACTATGCCATCATGCTAAAAAATTACCTGTAAACCTAAATAAAAATACTACTGAAGGGAAAACATTTTTTGGTTCTTCTCTTGGAGACAGGATCAGCCCCACATGTGTCAGCAATGGTGAGCATAGACAATTGAACACCACCTACTCTTTCTAGTGCGCCCGTGAAGGATTCTCCACCTTTTTGCCAATGTGACAATGCTCTTATTTTTTTTAATGGTGCTATCTATCAGCAAAGGGAGGCCATAAAATGAATGCCAGCAGGAAAGCATTGAAAATAAAAGTACATGGATAATCAAATAATTGCAAAAGGGATAAGGCAGGTAGTGTGGAGCAGACTTTAAAAACAGGCCTATTTCATTTGCAGGATGTCACACTGTAATTTAGTATCCATTAAGGAACCTGATTATCAGATTCATCCATGCATCTTCTACATTGCTTATGCAATATAGGGTTAGGGTTAGTCTCAAGCAGCAAAAGACATAAGATTGAAAAAAAATAATTGTAAAATAATAATAATGATATTAATAATAAACAAAATTTAACAAAAATACCTCCAAACCATACCAAAAGTACAGCAGAAACAACTAACCTCTTTAAAACAAAAACCAGAGAATCATCAGGTAATGACATTTAAAAAAGCAAACAACTAAAATTAAAGCTGGACCCAAAAATGAGCAGTGAAACAGCCCTCTGGGGTGCGTTACGTAAATACGGGCAGACTTGGCAGCGACAGTCTCGACGGTGGGTCCTGATGGAAACAGCATTTGCATAACATAATAGGAATGAGATTCATGGAGCTCAAGCTGTGGCTGTTACAGGTTGTAGGAAGTAAAACTGAGCTTGAAGGAGGACAGGAGTAGGTATGTGGCCCTTCATCATCCCTAGATGGGGGGTTATGTAACTCCACTGCCCCTGATTGTGGTCCAAGCTTCAGGGACGCAGTGGCGTGACTCCCCATGAGCCAGTGTAATTACCTGAAAAGAAGGCTTCCTTAGTTTTAGAGTAAGAATACGGCTCATAAACAAGACTACATGTTGCAGGACAATTCTAAAAAAAAAAACCGAAAGATCTTTTGCGATGTGTCAGACTCAGCCAGGGCAGACACTCGGGACCCAAAACGTGGAGCACAAAGGTTTTATTATCCGGATCAGGCAGACAATACTTGAATCAGCAGGCAAAGTTCATAGTCATGGTCACAGGTCCAAAAGGGTCAGAAGCCAGGGGGATCAGCCCAATGGAGGCAGGAAGAACAATGGGTGAGTACACAAGGAAGGAGTGAAGGATTCGGGGGCAAGGAAGGGCTGGATCAGGACCAGGAACAGGACAACTTCAAAATGCTCAGCACGGCTCATGAAAAAGCAAAAATATCTCACACTGAGTGTGAGGGCAGGGGGGTTAATAAGGGGATTGAACCAGGTGTTGACACTATAATTAAAGTCAGTCTGCCCCAACCTGCAGGATGTGACAAGATGCCGGGGTGGAAGGGGAGGAAAAAGCCAGACTGCAGCACGAGAAGTCAGTCTGCCCCAACCTGCAGGATGTAACAAGATGGCGGGGTGGAAGGGGAGGAAAAAGCTAGACTGCAGCACGAGAAGTCAGTCTGCCCCAACCTGCAGGATGTGACAAGATGGCGGGATGGAAGGGGAGGAAAAAGCTAGACTGCAGCATGAGAAGTCAGTCTGCCCCAACCTGCAGGATGTAACAAGAACTGCCCCAGTGCATGTTATTGAGATGATTTATTTGAATCATGGAAAGTTCCACATGGCCAATCCGTACCTCCATGGATGGGGTTCAACACCTTGTACACCTACTCCTATACCTATACTTTCTACTTGGTTTCTCAGTGATATTTTCGGTAGCTTCTGAAAAGGAGACAGGCTTCACTATTAATGTGCACGCCTTTCAAATGTATCCTATATGACCTTTTCACTGAAATACCCCCCAAGTCAAAAACATGAGGTGATCAAGCAGGATTGGTGACCTGAGGTGAAGGCTTCTTGTCTCACCCACAAGAGTGGCCTCCTGCAGCTGCCCACATAGGGAGAACTGCGAGTGGGACTTAATTAGCAGGCAGCCTGTTAATTAGCAGCTTGCCTCCACATTTCCGGAGAGTAGATAGCTGCCAAAATGAAGGGGTCAAACAAGGCAATGCCAGACGACAGCACTTACATAACCCTTTCATTTTATGGCATTTCACCTTATCATAAGTAAAAACTAACCACAATGTCAGCATGATGCCTATCGTTTCATTGTACTGTCTTGATTAGGGTGGATGAAACACTATTAGAATCAAAAGATTTGACTTGAATGTACGATCTCTGAGCAGCTCGTTCAGCAATAGACTTCTACACCCACAGTGTAGGAAGGAGCACTACCGCAGGTCATTCTTACCGGCAGCTGTCAGACTTTATAACACAGTTTAGCGTGGTTATTTTTACTCATCGCCTGTCTAACTGACTTATCATATGTCTTTAACTGCTGTTACCGATTTGCAGCTTGCGTGTACACTGTATATTCACCAGGATCATTCACACCCCACCCCCACACTTGTGTACATATCTCTGTACATTCTGTACTTATCTCTGTACATTTTTATTTATTTTGTCCATAAAACTTTGGTTGTGTATATAGACAACTGACTTACCTGCTCTTGTTGTTCTACAATCCTTTTGTATAAGAGCTCTGTAACACCTAAAATTCTCATTCGTGGGATAATAAAGGTTTATTTTATTCTATTCTATTCTTCTATTCTATCGGTTTTGTAAAGCGCTATATAAATGTAGCATTCATTCATTCATTCATTCATTCATTCATTCATACAACAGCCCACCAACAAACCCAGTAGTCACAACAACCACAATCGTCTGGGGTAATCACGTCATAGTAGCCCTCCATTACAACTTCCTACACCAAGTTACTCAGAAATGTTCTCTTCAGTACACCCAGTTGTGCGCGAAAAAGAGGCCTTTAATACTGTATTAAAGGTTGAGCGTCTTAATTCCCTCCGGGAACAAATCTGCTCTGCATCGTGTGAAGTCATTAGGTCCGCTCTCTGATTTTACAGCCGCTAAGGCGATTACTTAAAATGAACAAACCTTGAAACCTGTGAAATATGGCCCAGTAGGGATGACATTCAGAAACACATATTTTATTACGGGAGCAAAAAAGTCACGTTTAAAAGATCTTACATATAATCCTTAGATAAAACAAAGAGATGCACTGGCTACATGCCCTGGTATCTGCACCCTCTACCTGGTCTTGCACCATTTCATTGGTTGCACATAATGGAAAATAATGGATATGCCAAACGATATATTAATATCATTACTCAAGACCTAATGAGCAGTAGGGGCATCTTTTGTCATCATACACGTATAACTGTGTATTAGACCATTCTTTAAGAAGAAAGTTCTCCAGCTCTTTAAAGGAGGTTGAAATCAACATTGCACTACATGCTCCAGGTCTCCCATGAAGAACACACTGGGTATTGACCACCTCGGAACACGGCCACGTTGCAAGCGTACACTTTTCACACCATAGGGTGTGTATGGTCATGTTCCATGGCTGCAAAGCAATCATTGGACCTATTGACTCCCACAAGATGGCTGCCCAAATCGTTATCGATTCCTCATAATGGGTGACAGTTGGCAACAGACATTGTAGCGTCTAGGCACCTTGTGGCTCAAAATGTATAGAAAAGAAACATACAAGACGACTCTTTAGGCTCTTCAGGTTCTGGTTTTGTGAGCATTACACCAGGTAATGCTTTGTCTTGGAAATAAGTTCAGTCCAGTTAGCATCCCTGCATTAAATTTTAGGTTTGACAAGCTCACAATGTACAGCTTGTTTCGTGTGGGGTTTCCATAATTTTTTTGCACCGTTTGTATATAAAAACAAAACAAAGTTAGAGGTATTGATGTTCCTTTGCATTCAAGTTAAATCACATGAAGTGCTTTTTTTAAAAAAAAAATTAAAAATTGCAAGGTTGTCCTGACTTAAGCCCCAGACAAAGAAAGCAGAAAATACTTTAAAACATATGTAACTACAGAAGAGGCAATAGCACAGATTATATAAGATTGATCTTTTAAGATACATACTTTAAGATTGGACAACATGGTTTATCTGTTTATCTGCGTGTATTACTAAGAAAACATTTTTATCCCCCGACAGACTGTGTCAGACTCATATGGCAAGAGACATGATAAATGTTACTTAATGGAAAATACATGCATTTAGTTCCAATCGATTCCCAGCCTCCCACCTTCGACGTCAGTCACAAATGCATCAGTCATTGTAGATTTATAATGCCTGCCGGCTGATGTAAAGCCTGACGCGCTCAATTTGCTATGGTGACCACATAAGACGTTCTGTATGATGGGCATCAACCAAACAAACAAGAAATCATGTGTCCACTTAAAACTGCAAACTGGTTTGACTCATGGGAGAGACACTGTTGTTACACTCTGCACATTCTCCCACAATCGCAAAGGTCAAGTGAAAAATGTGTTGTCATCTAAGTGAACTAGAGGGGAACAAGTACTATATTAACTTGCATTTATGTGTACTTACTATGGAGTTTGTCATCAATTCTGAAAATTTAGATTCAGTTTAAGTTATTATTTCTGCAGTATTTAAAAAAATATTTTTAACTAAGTAAACTGTAATATCATTCAAAGTTTCACTCAGATAACTCCTCCCTATTGTCCAGCAAATAAATTAAGTACCCAGCAAGAATACACACGTAGGAAGCCCTCTCAAGTGAAAAATTCTGCTTTTTCTGAACTGAAGGGTAGGGGAAGAACAAGTTGGGCTGCACCATAAATAACCACAGGGGAGAACTAGCACAGTGTGTCACAGACATGAATGATGCATTGTACCGATTCCAGAAGTGGGAACTTGATGCTCGCTGTCACAGATCCTGACCTGGGGGTGGGGGGACTTACCAAAGGCAAAGATAGCAACATGTCTGCTTGCATTTTCAGTTTTCAGGATAGACAAAGTTGCACCCCTCCATCCCAGCTATAATGGACTCTTCCTACCTACTTTAAGACTTCATGCTACCCAGCTATCTTTTCATACTGGGGTCTAGTGGCTCTATCCTAGAAACAGTTAATCTATAGAAGTATGTGCATCATTTGCACTATTATTTGTTTATCACTATAATACGTCTTTTTAAGCACCGATTATGTGTAGTATTTTATATTAACGATCGTGTCATTCAGCACCACCGATAGACTTTTATTCCACATCTGCCTGCAGGACCCTTACTGTTTTTTTTACCCTGATGTGAGTTGTATTTTAAATTTTATACTGTCTATAGACCATGTTTATTGTTTGGATTCTTCGCTTTCACAGCAATGATATTTTATATTGTCACATTTTTATTTGACTTGTTCTTTGCATAAGTTAACTTCAACATGTTTTTGGACTGTGTGTGTGTGGCGGGGGGGATTGGAGTACCCAGAGTACACAAACTCCACACACATGGAGCCCTAGCAGAGATTCAAACCCAGGTGCCAGAAGGGTGAGGCGACAGGGGTTTATCGCTGCACCACAAGGGATTAATACTGGGGCAGTTCTGTTGTAACAATGAAGCACAATCACCCCACCCCACCCCACCACACCCCACCCCACCCATGCCAGGCTGGGGCCTCCAGAGAAGTGAGTCTGACCCTGACACTAGGAAACTTTGCTAATGCTGGGTACAATGCAGGGACACAGGGGAAAGCATGGCGTTCTGCACTTGTAGCATATGCCTAATGAGGCAGTCAGCCAGCATGTGTATTTTATAACATCCTGGATGTGGTGAGAATAAGCAAATGTCTTTGATACGAGTGGCGCACAGGCAAAGACATTTTACGGAGGAGGTTCCTCTCCTGCTGTCGAGCGAGTCACCCAACCCGGGGAGCCTACTGCCACCGCGCTGGCTCGTGTGGCTGTGGTGGAAATCACGCTGAACTCGGGAAACGGGCGCAGAAAATGCCAGGTAACCGAATGCAAAGGTAGACAGAAGGCCGATGCTTGATAACAGGAGAATGTGGAAAACGTTATGTGACATTTGCCTTGGCTAACAACTGAAATGAATTTTTTTTGCATGAAATGTAACATGAAACTGCCAACCAGCGTTGTTATTTATTAATCATTGCCACTTCAATCTCCAATCTCAGCAGCCTATAGTCCTACTTCTATGTCATTGTATTGTATGTACATTGTATATTGTATAGGCTACATAATATGTACATTGTAGTCTGTTCTTCATCACCATTGTAATTGTTATTTACAATTCTTCTTGTTTAGATCTGCAGGGAGGTATGCAAGCAAGCATTTCATTGCACTTGTTGTATAAATAAAAAATAAAGCTTTTGAATCCTTTTGATTTAGAATCTACTCGGATCATTTAGAAGAAATGAATGAATAAATAGAACCGAAAAATTTGTCCGAAAGCGTTTTCACTTTTTATCATGTGACACGAGAATGAGGATTTGGGGATGATAGCAGCACAAGGCAAACAAAAAGCAAGAAAAAATAGTTATCAGGCCTTGGGAAGGGTGACAAGGAGGTGTGGAAGAAGTCATCAGGGTCTGCGCACCTGTTCTGGTGGCTGAGAGTAAAGCCAGTGTTATATGAGTATTAATTAAGGAGGGGTGAAGGTGAGAATGGATGATGTCGCCTTTCCCAAGGATATCCCGCCCCTTTTTGGTCCCTGCCCACTTCTTTATTACTGCATTTGATTCAAGCAATTTATTGTTATATGTGCAGTACACAATTAAATTCTTATTTGTTATATGTTTGCAAAAAAAAAAAAACATGATTATTCTGTTGATATAGGACTTTACGGTGTTGTCAGGTCCAAGCAAATATGAAACAAAATATTACTAATGTTCATTTGAGTAATATAATTTATATAATTTACCATTACTTTGGGTTATAATATAAATGTTGTTGGGGTCAGAGTTGGGACCTTAAGCTGTTTCAAATGTGGCTTAAATTTCTGTAATTTCTTTGCACGAAGGTAAAGAAAGATGCGATGCTATAATGGATAGCGCACCAAACAAAACACAGCTTTACAGGGCTGCCAGCTCTCCCGTATTTGACACTCACGCTTTCAGACTCTCACGCTGACGCAAGAAATCTTACGGCAAATCTATATTATTCCATTACAAACCGAAAATTGGCTACATCAAAAGCACTGGGGCAGTTTGCAAACCCTACAGACAGTTTACAAGGTAATAACACTGTAATTAAGCTTGCAGACTTGTCTTGAATTTAAAATCTCACGTCAGCCAGCTGACCAAAGTTGGTGACACTGGCTTTAAGTTCCATGCAATCTTTAAGTCGATTTTTTTTTTTTAAAAAAAGGAGAGGCTATAAATCGACTGAGATAAATTAGCCTTCGCTAATCAGGCTGACTAGCCTGGAGAGCACTTTAAAGAGCACGCTTAAAGCATCGATCGGACTGCGTCGCGAAGCTGATGGAGAAAGCTATGGACCCCCCCATGCCCCCGTGTGACCAGACCGCCGTAGCTATGGGGGGCGAATGACGAGAACGCGATGTCCGTGCTGATCTAGGACCTGCGAAGCCGGGATCAGTGCGTCCCTGGCTAACCTTTCAAAGACAACCCTTTCTCAGTGCTTAATTAAACACCACCTGCTATATTCTATAGCCGACTCACACTTCAGTGCCATTGACCAGCTGAAAACAAGATCATTCTTTCATTTGATTGTGGCTTCGTTATTTGT